ATATATATATATATATATACTTGACATTTGGCTTAGCGTCTCTTCATGTGAGATTAATTATTCGCGAACACCTATCTATTCGACGTTCTCTTTAACGCCGGAAGAACCGTGCGGTCATTTCTATTTTCTAAATTAATATCTTTCTTCTCGTATTAAAAATATAATTTTTCTCAATTATACTCTTTTTCGATAGAATATTAAAATTAGAAAATCCTATCTTCAAATCAGAAAAAGATATTAATTTAATTAGATTATAATTGAAAAAATACAAACTCAAAAATAATCCCTTTGCTATTTTAAATGTTAAACTGACGACTTACTGGTGCTCGAGACGTATGAAGATGTCGTTAATTAGCATTTTAACATTGTCGTGCAAGCGTGAGAAAATTAGCATTCCCGAGTTAAGTTACGCTAACCGACCTAAGAGATCCTCGTCCCATTAATCGTCATAAAGCCAATGACAGGAATGACAGAAATAAAAATTAAGCGGCTCGATAATCTCGGCGATGAATTGTCGAGCTGGAAAAATTTTATTATACGCGACATAGGGACCTCTCAGAAGCCAAAGCCTTTTGCAAATTTCATAATTTTAGCAGCAGAGCGCACGCGATTACACGATCACACGATTCATTTTTATAAGCGCATTTGGCTTTTGGGAGAGCCGTCCGTCCGTCCGTCCGTCCGTACGTATGATGATTAACTGAAGCTGAAGCTGTAGAATATACTCACGGTGGACCTTCTTTTGTATGAATCTTAGTTTGCAGGCGGTACGATACGATGCGAATCGTATGGTGTCAAAGTTCTGCTGCCGCATCTCCTGCAGAAGCTGCAAGCGACTTGTCTCGCCGCTGCTCCCGTTTCCCGACCCACTCGCACCCTCCTCTGCCATGTTCACTGCAAAAAATGAGCGGATAATGCGATTCTGCGATTCTCATCGATTCCTCCGGCACATTTCCTCGCTATCATTCGTAACGTGCCTCGTTTCGCGATGAGAGGCTACGATCCTGCGCTCCTCCGCAGATCGATTGTGTTGTTTCCTTCTTTCTTTTATTATTATTATTATTGTTATTATTACAGTGGTAAATTTATGCGCAGCATAAAAAGATCGAGTACGGAGTGCGGAGCGGGGATCGCTGAAGTGACTAATCAGAGACTCATCAGACAACAATCGGCCACGTGAGTCTCTTGATGATTCTGCAGCGATTACGCGTCATGGCATACAGCGCAACATGGTTATATTTTAAATGAAATAATAAATATAAATAGATTAAGGAATCTCGAAATTAAAAGTAATGGAAAAAAGTGAGCGAATAAGAGTTAAGCGCGATAACAAATGTAAAAATTATAATTTACAAAATATTAAAACTGTGCAAACGCAAAATAAAGTGAATCTATTGATTCATCTTTGAGCTATACATATTTCTCAGCGATACAAGTACAATTCTCTTCTTCGCGTAAGCTTCATTGGTGTGTGTGTGTGTGTGTATGTATATATATATATATATATATATATATATATATCTGTCAATCGAATAAAAGGCATGTGTCGTTTACAATTCGATTGTATAGTCGAGAGTGATGTTCAATCGCTCGTTAACAAACGTCCCGTAATAAGACGACATATATCGTATGTGATTAAAAATAAGAGATTAAAAAATTAAGTGACGCTCAGGTGTTCATTCAAAAAAATTTTTAAAATCCCTGGAATTTTTCAGGCATTTTTATTGAAAATTCCAAGTTAAAATTAAAAAATTTTTAAATGCAATTTTAACAGCTTACATTATAATGGAAAAATAATTAAGCATTCTTCTAAAGAGAGAAAAAATTAAATTTAGAAATAAAATTTCAAAAAATTCTCTAAATTGCAATAATTTAAAAACAAATTCTCTGAATTATAATAAAATTTCATCATATTCCGTAATTTTCAAGAATAAAATAGACTCGATAAAAATTCTAGATTTTCCAAACTTTTCCAACAAGACAGATATTAAATATGCAAGAAATCGAGAGAGTTAGGAAAAAAGAGCAATTTTTTGCAATGTTAAAATGTATAAATAAAAAAGCCATGATGATTAAAAACATTGCAATTTAAGATTAAAAACAATCCAATCAATAACAAATGGAATAAATGAAAAACACTGGATATTATTGTGTGTTTTGTTTTGAAATATTGCAAATTGAAAAAAAAGTGTTGTTGAGTCAATAGCATCAAACGTAATTGAGAATAATCTTGTTAATTCAACAACAGTACTAATGCGTGGCGTGTGCGTTTGCGCGTGCGCGTGCGCGTGCGCGTGCGCGCGCGCGCACACGCACACGCACGCACACCACGCGCGCGCGCGCGCATATATTTAATTAATACGTGTGTCCACGAGCGCTGTTAAAGATATGTTGGAAGACGGCGATTTAACTTTGTCTCATAATTTTCTCTGCTCACAAGTTTCAAATGTATTCTGTCGCGGGTTGAGGAAACACTTGGTGCAATGCACGTAGATGCGCAACTGCAGCGAAGCTGCTCTTAATTTGTAACTTGTATTATACGTCACGTTGCGTCGTAACAAGAACGATTGTTCGACTTAACAATAGACTAGAGAGAATTAATTAGTGACAATTGGAGCGTATACACATTTATTTCATAAAGCGCATTACGAATGTTATATTGTATGTGCGAATTTTTCCAACCTTTGCCTTTGCATATAAATGTCTCCTTTCGATGCCTATTTATTCCTGAGATCGTACGACAGCTTAGTTTAATTAATATTTTTTACAACATACTAATATAAGTACATTATCTTCGTGTTCTTCAAAATTGTTTTCTAAAAGTTTTGACAAACAATTTAAAAGATCAGATGTCATTTTAAATCATTTTTTCATTATTTTTTTTTCGTAAATATCTAGAAAAAAATAGCATAATAATGATAATAATAATAGCATAATAATTTTTAAAGGAATTAGTATGTTGAAACATATCATTAAAATCTATTATATTTCATATAACAAAAATCTATTCTCTAAATAATTTCGTCATAAGTGTCACTTTCATCTTGCAGTTGATACAATAATATAAGTTCAATACAATATTAGCTTCTTTTACGATACATTTTTCGTTACAGGCTTTTTTTAGCGAGAATATACTTCCGGGAAAAGAATTAATATAGGGTCGCTCAACCATGATGATATAATCCGCTTTACGTAAACGATTGACCTAGTTAGGGAACGTCGATATTTCAAGATGTAATTGATTTAAAACCGATCGTTCGTCGCCTGTGAAACTTACTTTTTCACCAATTCTTCAATATTTTTTACGTAATTCTCTTTGCATTTTAACAAGTGCCAAAATTTTTGCAAAATGATGCAAATTTATTCGTAATAAAATAATCTTCTAATTGAAGTAACGCCAATTTTGAGACAAAAATTCTATATTCTTTATAAATTCTTTCTTTATAAATTCTATATTCTATATAAATTCTTATTCGTAAAGTCCTTTTTGGACAAAATCATAAATAGAATTCTATTTTTAAAAATTAACGCAATTTCTAAATCATCTAGACTAAGACTAAGACTTTAAAATAATTTTAAGGATTTTAATAGGAAATGAGAAATTTAATAAAAAAATAATTTTCCTTCTCTTCTTAATTCCCAATTTAACATTTTTTTTCGAATATCTCGATTCTTTATGAAAACAATAATGCATTGTTTATAAACGTTTTGTTTGTTTTTCAAGAGATTCTAGAAATAAGCAAACACTGCTTTTTTGCTATGCCAAGCGTAACATTGTTTTCGATAATCGATCCAGATCGCATATCGGAATAGATCAATCAGGAAACAATGAGGAAATGATCGATTGATAGGTTTGATGGAATGAGAGAACTAAATACCGGACACCTAAGTTTGAATCAATACGATAAGTCGACTAAGTGGGGAGAATGTAAGATCGGCCGAAGAAACGGAGGAACGGCCGGGAAAGGAGCGGCTGCGGGCGCGTTTGAAGGAACGCGCGAAACGGAGCGAGCGAGAAAGCGCTACCAACTTCAGCCGATTTCGAGAGAAGTCTCAATCCTCAATCGGTAACTTCAAGCGTAAAAAGATAAGAGAAATTGAAAACGGTGCAATCGCGTCGACGACGACACGCAAAAATTATACGTTTTGATGTGCGATTCGTCGCATTTAACGGATTTTTTTTAACACTTTCTACCGCTGCTCTACAGAGCAGCGCTATGTATAATTCTTCTCTCTCTCTCTCTTAAAATCCTGGATAGATATATTTATTTTAATTGAATTTGATTTAAATGATTTTACAATTTGTTTATAAATAATTCAATTATTTTTCATCCGATTTAAGAAAGTATAGAAAAAAACGACGAGCTCCAATTTGTCTGCGCGGAGAATTTTATAAACTTCGCGCTTGCGTGACTGAAACAATTGCGTTCCTCGAGACTTCTTTTCGAATGACTTCAACTTTAAGCTCTGATCAATCTTAATTAATCTCAAATTGAACAACAGAATAGATCAAAGCAAAATTTTCAATTAATTCGCAATAATTTCTAATCTTTCTTCCTATATGTTACATAATAATAATAATAATAATAATAACAACAATAACAATAATAATAATAATAATAAACCTCTCCAATAATTCTCTCCAGACAACATCACAATAATTATTTTAAATCAATTGTCGATTAATGTTCACTTTTAGATTTAAGAGAAAAAGATAAAAAGTAAGATAAAAAATCGAGATTAGAAGTTAATAGAAGAGACAGAAATTAACAGAAATGGATGGATTAACGTAAATTATAAGAAAAGTTGCTCGAAACTTGTTTAATTAATATAAGCATTTAATTACGGTTTGTGCTTAATTACAATTCCGTGTTCCAGCAATACGTGATTATTACATTAATGCAAATTCCCGGTATAGACTTGTTTTTCATTTCAATGTCAAATCCGACGGTCTTCTTTTTCTAATTTAATTTAATTTATTTTGTCAGAGACGCTAATTTTCCCCGATCTATTTCAAAGTCGGATGGTACGTCAATAAAAGATGCCTCGTGGTTCCATCCATCAATAATTTAGTTGCCCATTAGTATCAAGCCGTCACTTAATGCGATCTCGTTTCAGAGAGTGAAAAATCAGAGGATGAAAAATTCGAGCGTATGAATTTACAAAGTGCTCTAAATTTGCCATTAAAGGTGCCATTAAAATATCGATGTTTTATTTCGAACACTAACTTCTTTTGATACGTTATTGGATTGTTCCGTTCGATGGTAATTAAACATAAATATTTGAAACAGTATTTGAAATTAGCATTCAAAAGGTCAAGTATTCAGATTTTGACAATTTCTAGTAGATGATAGAAGTAGAAGTTTAATAATTAGTAATATCTATCTTATAAATTTCTTTCATAAGAATTCAATTCAATTAAATAATTCCATATCTTCATTCTTTAGTTAATCACGTCACATTACATTTTCAATATTTGAAGACTTCCTTCTCTATCGCAAGTTGAATATCATCTTTTCTTTTTTTTTTTTAAAGAGGTATTCGGGAGATAAATGTACAAAAAATATTATTTTATTTAAGAAAAGCAGTGATCTAAGCCCTGCATACAATAAAGGAAATATTAGACAGAAACAAATAACAAATTTAGAGATAAAAATTAGGAATAAAGCTATATCTTTTAGGAATATAGCTATATATTATACTTATGTTTATTGTGCGTTTAATGTTTATTCCTAATTTTTATTACTAAAATTTAATATTTATTCTCGTTCCTAATATTTTTTCCATTGTGCGCATCTCATATTTATTTCTATTCCTAATATTTCCTCTGCGCAGGATTGCATTTCCTGGAAAGTGTATTTATCGCGTAATACAAAGGAACACATCGAATATTTCGATTCAAAACACTCACACTCACTCACTCACTCACTCACTCACTCACTCACTCACTCACTCACTCACTCACTCACTCACTCACTCACTCACTCACTCACTCTCTCTCTCTCTATATATATATATATATATATATATATATATATATATCTTTCTGAAAAATATAAAAAATATACTATAAAAAATATAAACATTACATATATAACATACATTTTTTAATATACATGTCACGATGTCGCGAAAATTTACAAAAAAAAAGAAACGATAATTCAGTCTTGTAGACACCTAACCTGTTCTACCGGTCGGTTTACTTGCCTACTTGCCTGCCTACTTACCTACCTGAGAGGTAGGCGCTCTCTGCGCGCGTCTTCGCGAAGAGGAAAAAAAAGGGATACTGATGGGGGCGTGGAGTCACAGTCACAGTCACAGTCACAGTCACAGTCACAGTCACAGTCACAGTCACTGTCACTGCCGATGTCGATGTCGATGTCGATGTTGATGTCAATGTCGACGTCTCGTGTCCGTGGAAAGCCTCCCTCTTACCGTTCCCGCCAGGCCATTAAATCATGAAGAAACGAATCACGAGAGCCACTGCGGTCGTCATTCGCAAGCGGTCGTTTTCGCGGGCGAGCGGTCCACGGGAGCGGTTTTAACAAGACTTGGAACGTCCGCCCCGCTACGCGGTGGTCGATATGCGATTCTATGGGGGACTGGCGACGGGCAGCCCACCGAGCCACGCGAGATGTGAATCTCCGATAAACGGAACGGGATGCGAACTGATGCGAATTTGATAGAAATCGGGACGTCACAAAATAAGTTCGCTGCACGAATCCCGACGCACGTCGCGAATTCCGCGGCCATCACTGGCCATCACTAAGCCATCACTGAGCCTCCCCCCTCCATCATCTTTTTCACTTCGTCGATCCGCTGGTGGCGCCCGACTTGAACAAGCGGACGAGAGAAATTGGATCACGGCGACGCGCGCGACGAATTCGAAAATCCTATGGGGGATTCATTTGTGATATTGCGGAATTTGAATTCTGATGAAAGTCCCACGGGACACAGCGACGATCTGATAACGATAAATCGAGGAGTTGACATAGTTTGGAGAGACAAATTTTATTAAATAATACATTGAATTAAAGGCCACAGTTAAATTGTAATTTAAACAAACGCTAGTTTTTATATGGCAGTGCTTCATAAAGAGTTAACAAGCATTCGCATTTCGGGGAATTTTAATAATTTTTAATGTTTTCCGCAATGATCTTTGCGCTTACATAGAAATTAATTTTTAAAGATTAAGGACCTTTTTCGTTATTACGATTATGCAAATAATTGCTACTGGAATAATTACAGAATTCGCAATATCCTGGTGGTCCCTGCGCTCCTGGTGATCCTCTTATGCCAGGGATACCTGGTTAACATATACAATTAGCGTAATATCTATAATTACATATAATGTCGAAATCATAGAGATTTTAATTATTCTACAAATTAGTTTGGAAAAAGTTTTGTTTCTAAAAGATATAATTCTTTTACCTGGTCTGCCTGGTTCACCTCTGTCTCCTTGTCTTCCAGGCAAACCAATACCATCATTACCAGGCGGTCCTATGGTAACACGTCATACAATTATTGTATAGCCTTATAGAAAGCTACTAATACTAGAAAATTAAAAATTATTATTATTCAATGTTTTTAATACTTAAAATAAATAATTTCCAGTATTAAATTGGATTTTTGTAAGAATAGCCGTGCCCAAATCTGCTTAATAATTTTTTTTGATGTATAATAATACCTGGTAAACCTGATGGTCCCGGTGGGCCTTCTAAACCGTTTCCTTCGGGACCCCTATCTCCTTTTTCTCCACGTTCGCCAGATAGTCCTCGTGGACCGATGGGACCCTGCGAGCCAGGTAAACCGACAAATCCACGTTCTCCCGGCACACCTGGCGGTCCTTGATTGCCTAAATAGAATTGAAAATGGAATCAATTAAGACTAAAAAATTTTGATCAGTTTGAATCAGTTAAACAGCATAAATATGTTTGTAAAATATGAATAAATCATGCATTATTTTTCAAATATTGGATCCTTTTTTTTTAAACAGTTTGACAAAATTCATTATTCATAGATGAAGATTAAATGTAAGAACTACAGAATAAACAGTCGAGGATAGACAATGAATTTACCAAGGATGATGCATAAAGTGTGAACTGCCTTGAAGAAGATCCGCTTTAATGTGTTAAAAAAGCATTACGCTCAGTGATGAGAAATTAATAGAATTACTCGACTAATCGTAATAATTTTCGCATGCGCACGATAAAAGCATTCATTATTCCGGAGGTTGCTTTGTTCCAAGTGATAGATACCTGGAATGCCCCGCTTTCCGGCTCGACCGGGACGACCGTGTCGAGCCGGTCCCGGTAATCCGGGTAGCCCTCGTAGACCCTCTGTTAGTTCTTTCAGCCTCTCTGCGACACATGCCAGTACACCATTATCGTTATGGATGTAACCGTATAACGCCGGAATGTCGGTCGATATTGTTAGGTACGCTTTGTATCGTGGTGAATCGCGCGATTCGGATATTGCCAAGCGCAAATGAAACAGCGCAAAGAATTGATTTTAACTCGAGGAGGTACCTGGGCGACCCTGAGGACCAGGTGATCCAGGACGGCCCGGACGGCCTCGGCCGGGAGGGCCAGGTGGGCCTTGCATTAATGTTGCTATTTCGATCATCTGTTCTGTATTCACAGATAGTAAAGAAACAAAACTACACCATGATTGAAGTATTATTCTTTTTTCTTCTAGTGCATTTCTTAAGATTTTTTTAATAAAGTAGAATTTATTGAGCTTCCAGATCAAAATCACTGAAGCTTAATCGATTTAATTTAAAGGTTGGCCTTAGCAAAAGATGAAGGGAGTCGACGACTAGAAGATTAGTTAAATTTTAATAAGCTTTAATCACCTCTCAGAACACTGGTGCAAATATCGCGAATTTCCGCTTCGCTGATACTACGACCTGGCAGACCTTGAAGACCAGGCAATCCCATTTGACCTCTGTTTCCAGGGAGGCCTTGCAATCCGGGCGCACCGTCCTTACCCGGTATTCCCGGTGGTCCTATTCGACCTTCCAATCCTCGTTTTCCAGGAGCTCCTTTTTCACCCGGCTAATCATATATTCAATTTTTAAGATTTATTTAATTTAAAATGTAAAAAGAAAATTAAACAATGACTCTCGAAATTGGCAATAAAAATTAATATAAAATTAAATTAAAATTACGCACCGGTAAAATTACGCTGCGTTTGACTCTTATTTAATTTATAATAAAATTTATAATTGCAAAATTAAAATTTCGTAATTAATTGAATTTTCTGGATTTCCTAAGCATAGAAGACACTTACTATGCCCGAAGAGCCTGGTGGACCTCTAGGCCCTGGTGGACCTCTAACTCCTTCGAAACTAGGATTGCCAATGTTATCGTTTGCAGCAGGAAAACCAGGAGAACCCGGAGGTCCTGGCGGTCCTGTCGATCCCGGAGGACCGGGTGGACCAGGCCTCCCTTCCAATCCTGGTACGCCTGGTACGCCTGGTGCACCCGGTAAACCTACTGAGCCCTAAATATATACAAACCAATTAATATAATAATTATTAGTCTGATAAGTATCTGTAACTGATTGTTTGACATAAGCTGACTGAGGTGATCATGATAAACATAGAATTGGCAAATCGCTTAATATGATAATATCCAGTTCGCTTATTTTTCTACCGAAATTCCTGATAATCCGCGAGGTCCGACAGGACCTGGCTCGCCATCTTGTCCCTTGTTACCCTTCGGACCTGGTCTTCCATCGAGCGATCCTGATTTTCCTACAAGTCCGTCTAAACCTCGAGATCCCGGAGGACCCGATTCTCCGTGTGGCCCTGGAGGTCCCTTATTGTAACGACGAATATTCATGAAAGAGTATGTTATTTTACATTAAGAAAAAAAAGATTGGAATAGATAAAAAATAATACAATTACATATAAATTTAGAATAAAATACCTGCGGTCCCGGTAATCCTGGATATCCATCCTTTCCTGATTCACCAGGTAATCCTGGAGGTCCTATCGATCCGATTTCTCCTTTTTCACCCGGAAGACCATCGTCGCCAGGAGGACCGATAGATCCTTCGGAAACAGGTGGTCCCGATATGACATTATCTATCAATCCCGATGTGCCTTCAAAGATAATAATAAATATACATTTTCAATCACGAGGATAAAAAAATTATATCATCAGTTCATTAATTTTTATTTGTATTATTCTAATTAAAATAAATTGCGAACCACGTTCTCCAATATCTCCTTTTAAACCTGGCGGACCAGGAGGTCCTGGCAATCCTGGTAGTCCTGGTGGGCCTGGTGGTCCTGGCGGTCCCATTATACCTAAAATGTTAGGAGATGCAATGTTCCCTTTGACTCCAGGACCGGGAGGTCCTGGAAGACCAGGAGGTCCTGGTGCACCATTACGGCCGCGGATTCCATCTAATCCTGGATATCCTCTGTCCCCAGGTTCGCCTAAAATTTTGAAATTTTATAGCGATCTAATTAATATCTTTTATATATGTATTTTTTTCAAAAATTTCATAAATCAATTATATAAATTATTTAAATATAATTAATGATAAATATTTAAAAATTTTCGTTTATGTATTGCACAATTAACTAATTGTTGAAATGAACTGAAAAGCATATCATTTTGAATTATTTATAGGCAAACAGTTCAAGCGTAAATTGCGATAAATTGATTTACAATCATGCTAATGAATGTGCGCGTATCTAGGTCGATATCACATATGGGATATATCATGTGTCGTCTAAATCGTTTAATAGTCTCTACTAGTCATTACTTCATCATCATGACTTTCTAATGTGTTACGTTAATAAAAATTTTATAAATGCGAGACACGTAATTCGAATATAAATATTCAAATTAATATTGATGTATATTGCCGTCTTATTTCGTTATAATAAATTCATGATAAATTTTAGTCGAAAAATTTTTTGTTTTTATCGTATACATTATTCATATCTTTAAAAAAATATTCATATTTTCCATTGCAAATCACGATCATAATTAAAACAGGTATAAAGTATTCGTTTTGACATAATCGAGATTAGGCAATTAAAAATTGATTTACAAAAGACAACGAAACATAATCTGGTACTCGTAATAATCTCTTTATCGCCGACATTGAATGCAATTAAACAACTCGATACAATTTCTAGCGAGATTGAATTACATCGTCGAGCACGTGTTCAACGTTCCAGTGAATTTAATGTTTCTTAATTGAATGACTTCTGATGTTCTTTTTTATGGAATATATAATAACATGTAACATATTATACCTTTTTCACCCGACTGTCCAGGAGCACCATCATCTCCTTGATCACCTTTAATTCCTTTTTCGTATTTAAAAGGATGTAGACAATCGCTTATATTTCCTGATGGACCTGGAAATCCTCGAGGACCTTGATCTCCTTTTAGACCCGGGAATCCCATATCGCCCTAATAAAAGATTTACTCTTCTACTATTATTCCCTTTACAAAGAAATTTCCTAATTATTATCATATTCAATTTAAAAAATTGTGAACAATGCTTACATTTTCTCCCTTTCGACCTGGTAATCCTGGTAAGCCCGGTGACCCCACGGATCCAATCGATCCTTTAGGACCTTGTAATCCTGGGGAGCCTCTAGCACCAGTATTCCCCGGAACTCCCTATAATACAAGTTTTTTACATATATATTACATAGATTTTGTAAATATATACAAATTATTTTACATAATTTACATTACATATTGTTATAATTATACAGAAAGAATAAATAACGGAAATATACTTGTTCCCCTGGTGGCCCACGTTGCCCAGGAGAGCCTCGTACACCTTTTGATCCTGGTGTTCCGGGTGGTCCAGTTGCACCGGGAGATCCCTGTAATACAAATACATATACCATTTAACATATATGAGATGGTATCATCTCATCTCTTAAAACCATTTTTTAGCATTAATAGCATAATTTCATAAATTCGTCTATTTACATTACTTATGTCTATACGTATATAAAATTTTATTAAAATCAGAATTTAATACTACGCGAAAATCCCTTGTAAATCAAATAAAAAAAATTTATAAAAAGATATATTAAATCATTATTTCAAAAAATAAAACGACTAATAAGAATCAAGAACGCTAATAACAGTGTGTGATTGTTTTAAAAAACTTATTTATTCCATTGATATTTCATCTGTGATACAACGCGGACGTTTCGTGTCGATTTTGAGCCATCTTCAGCAAATACATATATGGCTTAATCGAAACAGTATAGTAAAAACAAAAGGCGCGGTAGACGTCGGAAAAAATTGTCGCATTTTGTTGTATTCGCATGATGTTGACCGGCAATGAAGCAAGATAGAACTGTCTTGACAGAAAATCTCCTGGACGTGTTTTCGCATGGTGAGTGAATCACTGCCACAATATATTCTTGTTATTTTCGTTATAAAGTGTAATGTAGGGATTTGCTCACGCATAGGTATCTAAATTTTATTAGGGCTTTGATTTTAATATTATATTACTAGATCTTATTCTCTGTTTGATAAATGCAATGTAAAATTAGGAAAGGAAGGACTTACATTTGTTCCATTAAATCCGCGTGGTCCTTGCGGACAGATCGTTTCGCAGGAGTTTCTTTGAAATGGAGCGACAATGGTCCTCTACGGTCACATACACATTACACTAGTCATATCTTGCAAGTTTGCTAAATTTTGTTGAAATATGTGGATCTTACCAATGGTAATTCTTCGCACGTATCTCTTTCGTATGTTGTAGGATCACAGTTTAGAAACATCCATTGTACGTCGATCTAAAGATAATACAAATAGATATATTATATACAAATATAATATAATATAATATATATAATATAATAATATACAATATAATAAATATAATATATATAATACAAATAGATATAAACAGATATATATATATATATATATATATATATATATATATATATATTATATGATTCCGAAATTATTGATATTCGTTAAATTTTTGTAGATTTTCCTTTTGTACAAACATTAATATTTTACTTGAATTGTAATGTTTTTACATGCGCATTTTAGATACAAGTCAAAAAATTTAATATTAAATGTAATTTGTCTTACTGACGGTTTTAGTCTTGTGTGGTGACAGATGCGTAACGTTATCTTTAAAGAATTTCGCAATGATATAACAACGTGATGGAATTCACGAATGTTAGATGTATGTGAGTCGATTTTTACACAAAATTAAATTAATTATAATTAAATCAAAACTTAAAGAGTTAAAAGGATCAAGCAGAACAATAAATAAATAAATAAATAAATAAATAGTGCAGTAATTTTAGTTTTATGCATATCTGCATTAGACGTTATTACGGGGTTTTACCGGTACAGACATCTCGCTATTGCTCATCTTGGCTATCGATATGTCTCCATCGAATATAATCGGCTGGCGTGGTTTCAGCTTTTCCATGCCCACGAATTCACAATCAACGTTAAGAACCAGTTTATCTTTGAACACTCCGAAGTTTACTTTGTGCCAGCCGTTGTCGAATACCTATTTTATAAAAAATTGCATCTTTTTCTTTAATGTTATTATTTAGAGATGCAAACCGCAAATCATCAACTCTTCTTAATTTATCCTAGACAAGATAATGATGTAGAAGGGAATAGGAAGAGTCCTAAGAAAGACTCATTACCGAGAGGCTATATTTATCGCATAAATCTACGCCATTTCAAAACATGCGTTAAACGCATGTGTATCCTGCGTATTCTCGTTGATCAAAAGATGATTGCAAGCATGTCGTAGCGTTCCCTTAACGTTTCATCATTGATCGCACAGTTCGTCTTTCCGTCACGCGGGCAACAGAATTTCTAACGTCAAGGCCTTCGCAAATGACTGATTCGTACGCAAAGTGACTCGATATGAGTGTGACATCTGTTACATCTGCTCTGTGACACAATAGAATTCACGCATTTAAGGCCGGTATTCATAGTCGGTTCTTATATTTAAGAATTAGCGTCTTACAAATTACATTTCAACCAATGGTAACTGGTAATCGTACACAAGCTTACTTAAGACGATCTTAAATATAAGAAAGAACGGACTATGAATCAGCTAGCATTAGTTTTGTATGACTCGGCACACGCATCTCAGGCAGTTTACATAACAATTTCTTAGGACAATTGATGAAACTCGTGCGGTAATTGAGTAGATCACTTTAATAATGATGGCTCCGATTCTGGTCTCTCTTCACGAAGACACTTTTAAGATTACTCGGATTCAGAACTGGTGTATTTTACAAGTATCGTCATTGCAAGATCATAAAGTAAATTCGGCTTAGGAATTCTTAAGAAGTAAGTAATTCAAGCATTACTCGGTCAGACAGGATATTTCTTAATTTTTTAATTTAGTAAATAAATTCAAGAGACATTTAATTTTCATTAGTAACTATACACCGTTTATCTACGTCTTTGAAAGTACGTAGCAATTAAAAGCTACATCTTTTCCCTTTCCTTAATTAATTCGATAATAAATTTATTTTACAAACGCGCAAATTATTTTAAAATGATGACGAACGTAGCCGACACTTACGCGATCATTCATGAAAGAGATTGTCTGTAACTTTCCCTTCTGGTCGATTGATGAAAACTCCAATGTTCTTCTTTTAGAATTCATCGTGATGAGAAACTGAGGATCGCCTTTTGCATTTACGATCTTAATAACGTGCCAAGGAAACTTCGATGATTTTCTAGCTCTCAGCGTGTAAATCAACGAGAACTCGTTTGGAAGCTTGCTGAGCGTGATGTTCCTGGAAAGGAAGATTCACACATAAAGAAAAAAATCGATATTTCGTTAATTAATGTTTTCAGACACGGCTGTATTATCGAACAATTATTATTTATTAACTAGTCAAATTAATTAGGCACAGCGAATAATATAATTAGAAATTTTGCTCTAAGCAATTCTTGAATTAATTGCAAATTAACTAAATCTTTATTCAATTGTTAAACTATTTTATCGAGTAGAATTGTTAATTTTTCATTTGTATGTGCAAAGAAGGATTAAGGATGAAAAATAATGAGTTATACAAGAAATTGTGCTGCAAACGAGTTTGCGAGCTGAATTAATTGTTGAGATCGAGTTAGTTGGAATTTGGTTCAAGTCGATCCAGGCCACTGTTCCTATGCAAGCTAATTTGAATACTTTGTTGAGAGGATGACATCAGTATCCTTCTCTAGTCGGTATGCTGTCTGCATGCGTCTACTGCCTCGGACCTTCGTCATCCCTCTATATGCGTCCGGCTGATCTAATTTCAACTTGCTGATAAAGTCGAATGTTTGAAAATCGTCCTCGCCAGACTTGTAACCATTGCACAACCCGCGTTTGGCGATGGTCTCCTCTGCAATATATTCTAACAAATAACGTGATTTTGAGCTCCGTAATCGAGCTACGCGTAATGTTGTTGTAATTCCGTAATATTAATGTGAAAAATACTTACGAGCATATGTTATATGCGTTATTGTAAATATGCATACTTGCAGATATATGTTCCGTGGCCAGATAAATCTGTAACCGGCGGAAGAATAATAATTAATGATATTTTCCCTGCTCTAAAGTCCTTTAATAATAGAATAAGATTATTTTTCATATATAAATTTATATTCAAGGTTTTTAAATTGATAAAGCTATATTCAAGAAATCTCACGTAACATGGTCCTGTGGCGCAACGGATAACGCGTCTGACTACGGATCAGAAGATTCCAGGTTCGAATCCTGGCAGGATCGGAATTGATATTTTTGATGATACCATTTATTATAAATTTTTAAGACTTGGCTATCTCTATTGGTAGCCATATTGGTATCAGAGACGAGAAGTGATATGCGATAAATTATAATTACTGCTTTTTTCAGTTTTATCTCAAAAACAATAATTTTGTGATCCTGATAAATTGATACATTTGTCCGATATATCATATAGAAGTGTAAAATAATTTTTTAAATAATGATACATTTTTTTAACTGTCAAAAATTGTGGTAATTGATTTTTCTTAAAATTTTACTTGATGTATTTGTGACGTAAATCTTGAAATAATTTTTGTTTATAGTACGTAAGAAAACAAATTAGCCAAGGTTATGCAGAGAAATTTTTTTTTATCAATTGCTTTTGAACTGCGTGTCAATTAAACAAAAAATTAAATAAATAGAATTGATATGACAATTAAATTGATTTAACTTAATTGGTTTAATTGATACACAATTTAATGTTATAGTTAATAAGAGGCATTCTATAAATCTATAAAAATTGCAAAAGTATGAAGACGAGATATATAAAACTCACAAAAATTATTATAGATTATTATAGATTGTCATAAAATTATTATAAAATCGCGTTTAACATTCTTATAAATATTTATATTCTCTGTATTATATATATAATCGTTTATTATTTATGTATTAATGTAAAAAACTTATTTTAACAGAATCTATTAACAGATTGACAATCTAGATTAAACAAGTGTATAATATGAGAATATGATTATTATAACATATAGTTCAGAATCGTGATTGAATGCATTGCATACATTGCTGGCATCCATTTTCTCTTTTAGATTGTTAACTTTAGATCTCTTTTGGATGAAACTGTTCAACTTTTGTAATTTATTGTAATGATGTCTGAAAACATATACATCGGGCATTCTGTGCATTACAAAGAACTTGCGCGCGCGCGCGCGCGCGCGCGTTGAACGTTGTGTTATATTAGATTGATTAAAAAAAATTCCGCTTTTGCTAAATTCCTCCTTCTCAAAATCATAAAAAAGGCACTCTATTACGCGCGCAGATGAGAGATCCTTTCCTTCTTTGTCAATCTGTTTTTCTCACTCGTTTTTAATATTCCCAATAGCTCACCAAATCCACAATATATTACAGAATTTTTAGCAACGGTCAAAGTTGACTTTTGCAAATAATGCTCGGAAAATAACACATCGAGAAAATGATCGAGTCAATTGTTTCGTCTCAACATCAGGTTGCGACGCAGCTCTACGCGAGATGGCGCCACATCCGAACTAGGACGAACCAACGAAGTTTATTATTGACAGACGAAGTACATTGGCAACTGGTGGCGAGTTGGCACAGCGGTCAACGCGCTGCGCGGATGGGGTTGGCGGCAGAGGAGGAAGAACTCGAGAAGATTCCATCTCGAGATTCGTTGAACGTGGACGCGCGATGCGAGTTGTCGACGTGCAGATGAACAAAAGAGACTTCCGCGTTTCCGCTACTGTGACTCTGCGGGAGTGCAGCGTCGTCATCATCGGAAGTACATGCAGGATATGCGGCAGAGACTTCAAATGCGAGAGCGACGTTGCCGTACACACGCGATGGCGTCATAACAACCACGCCATGGGATCGCTGATGGATATCCTGGACCGCCAGATGAATCTCAAGAACGTCAATCAGAAGTGCGACGTATGTGACATGCCATTTGAGATGATTTCGGATCTGAAGTTTCACAAACGACTGATACACAAAAACAAATCCAGATACAGAGGTAAACGCCAAAGAGGAAAAATAACGTGTGAAATTTAAACTGAATGGCGTGACGACAACGGATGTGAGCCTGGATCGAAAGTATATAAAGATACAGGACAGTTTTGAACGATATGTCGACGTTTATACGCAAACTCCAATCTTCTACGAAAATGAGAGATATCAAGATAATTGCTCTGGGAATATTGATTTATCTCTCCCGAACCATGTCGTGAACGAGAATCATATACAATACGGTATGCGGCCGAACAAAGCTGGGAATCGATATATTGTAGGTAAATTCGCGTCTACTACTACTAAAGGCAACGCGATAGCGCATCCTGTCGTAGTGGCGGAGAGAAGTCTCGTAGAGATCTCGAATATAGACACAATCCCCGATAGCGACGACTTATGCAAAGAGAATTGTGAAGATCATTATTATCTCGTTACTGCAAAAAACGCCGAGGTCGCGTTTGTCGAAAGTTTTATCAATAGCGCAAACACTCACGATAAGGAAAATTTGCAGAGAAGAAATGGGCGAGAAAAGAGAAACACATATTGTCGGAGCGAAATTTCGCTCAGTGACGATTTTCTCGCTTGCCAGTCGGAAGAAGTTGATAAAACGTTATCTATGTCTAAACAAAATTCTTGGTCCAGCGAAAATCGTCACTATATCGTCAGATGGTCCGATGAAATTGCAAAAACCCAAGAAACCGATGAATTGACCAATTCTTTATTAGATTCTATGGAAATAATTTTAGATAATGAGAAAAGATATGACTTTAATGAAAATGGGACCAAACTTCCTCCTTCCTTATCTCGACTTAACAAAAAAAATGAGTCGATAAAAGTTAATTCGAGCACTGACGACGACGTGCAAGAAGTACTGCGAATAACGAGAGGAAATGCCCATAACGATATCAATCATGAATCGCCTAATCGCATGGAAAGGGAGATACTGATACAAAACGTTATAAGCGAAACATTACCGTCACAGTTAGAACCGATTGTTTATCCAAAAGTTGATATCGTGTTTACAACAAATTTTCAATCGTCCGACTGTCCATCGTTTATGGTCATGACTGAAAATGATTATCAATTTTTGACGAATTCATTCGACAAAAGACTGAGCATTTGTCTGGAAGATCATCATTGCGGGATCAGACACTACAACGATATAGCAGAAATTAATAACAACAACTTAGAAGAGTATAAAAAAAATTCCTTTGAAACATCGAAGCGGTTGATTAAATCACAATATACCAATGAATCCAAGGTTAAAGACAACGAAGTAACTGTTGTATTAGATTGAATGTGTGTAAACAAGCATTGGTTCCTGACTATCATTAGAGATACTTTATAGATCATAATCTTCTCAAGGCCAAATAACAAATGCCAACATGTTCTTTTATACTTCTTTCGGTTGCCTTCTTTAAATTTTTTAAGGCAAACATATTGTGATATATGTTAATACATGTTTTGTATTTATATTTTATTATTTACAAATGTTGATTTATGCATACACACATGCGCACACACACTCATGCACACAGGGTGTCTGATTTTTAATGATACTATATGCAGGTAGAGCGGGTCAAATTGAGTAGAAAATTCTCTACCATTTTGTAGTGTAAGTAAATTTAGTAACGAGTTATTAATTATTAAAAATTATTAAAAATAAGCTCGTATCCGTCCGACTCACTGGCAAATGCAAGCGCGCCACGAGGTGCAACATTACACGTTCGCGATTGCTAGGAGCACAGCGAGATTTTTAGTGAAGTCTATAAATGGTAGAGTATTGCTTATAGCGCACACCTCTATACATTTAACGTTAAGCGGTCACATCTCGCTGTGTGTTTTACGAATCAGACATCCTGTTTGACAAATTGACAAAAATGATATTGAACGAAAACGACTTGTCATTTTTGTTTTTTTTTTTTTTTCTTCTATTTTCATCTTTGTCCAGTATTACTTTTCATTATTTAAAGAAATATATAAAACATTGTGTGATACTTGGAGCAAATTTAACAAGTATAATATATCAAGTTTCAATTTTGAGAAATTTCAGCTTGTGATGAATAAAAAATTTAAACGTATTAGATTGTGTGTGTGTGTGTGTTGTAATTATCACATAGGATATATACATTTAATATGTTCTCGATGGAATATGGAATATTCTTGATGTATGAAGACTTGAATATATGAAAATATAATCACTCTTTTTCAAAATTTTTAATATCATTTATAGGAAACTCCAAAAACTTCCATCAATTCTTAGTGATTGACAATTGAACAACTCGTGATAAAGTTATTCAATTATCAATCGCTA